ATAATTCACCTCATAGAACAAAATTATATAGGGCAAATATTATTTACGAATTTAAATGCCCATTAAGCAATTGTATTCCTGATTAAACGAAATTGGGTAAATAATTCTATAGGCCACACTACATGTTTGACACGCAGACTCACTCTACACCTTTCTGACCATAGCTCAATTAGATCTCATTTCAATATTCATGGAGACCTACCGGGCACTATTCGTAACATGCTTGTTGACAACACTAATAAAAATGAATCATCTACATGCAAAAGAAAGTGTAAAAATAATGGAAGCCTTAACAAAAAAAAGAAAAAAGAAATCAACACTTAATAATATCAACTTTGAACATGGACCGTGTTTTGAGAAATGAAAACATTTTACAAAACATACATGCAAGAAGCTATTTCTTATTTAACCGTTAAAATGTTTAATCTTTGAAAATGAGTAAATGTATAGCCGAAAGCGCTCGGATAAAACAACATTCGGACAGAGAGAGAGAGAGAGAGAAAGAAAGAAAGAAAGAAAGAAAGAAAGAAAGAAAGAAAGAAAGAGTGAGAGAGATAGATAGATTAGGAATATCAATGACAATGGAGAAAATTTTTCGTGTGAGTCTTTTCTTCCAGTAGAACTTCATCGAACTAAAATAATGTTTACGTTGATGTAACTACACATGGGAACGAACGAGAATTAGACGGTGAAATATTTTAAAGAGCGTATTGTAACGGCAAAAGTGCGTAGGTGTAGACTTTAAGAAAGTTTTATTCAACTGAGAATACAAGGTTCGTGTATAGTGTCCTTTTACAGTACCAGTAAACAGAAATAGCTCTCTCAAAGAGGAGAGTAACAAAACAAGGGGAAACCACTGTTGATTATCCATAACACGTATGCAAATATAAAATATGTAAATATCTTCTTAAACAAAGAATTTAACACAAATGCCACACTCAAAGAAATATACGGGTTTTAAAAGAAAAAATGTCCCCAACAACACAAGGAAATAGACAATTTCGAAAATGAATTGACTAAATTAGTAAGAAAAATGAAATTTCATAAACAATTAGATCAGTCAGTTATGTGCCATGTGTGATACACGCTTAGGCGATCATGTGTCTTTCGATACATGACTGACGAGGCAGATTTTTTTCACACAGTAGGTTGCCATTTCTTTCTGCGGTATTTGCCATTCAAGGCTATAGAACCAGATCTATCCTGTTATTTACCCTTAGCTGGGGAGAAAATGAGGATTCATATCTTTCTCAGATGTAAGTGAATATAAAGGATCCTACTAGAATTAGATACTTTCCAGAAAAAAAAAAACTAAAAAGGAATATAATCAAAATAAACAATTCACATCACGTATCTGTCGCCACAGCAAAAGAAAAATCATATGAACTAAACCCTCCCCACAAAAAACCTTCTCCACCAGCAAACTAAGTCCTCCACACCAAAACAAAGTACTTTCCACAAAAAAAAAAACAAACTAATTTATTCCTACCAAAAAGCTAAGCCATCTCCATAAAAAACAAATTAAGCCATCCCCCACTACAAACTTGCGCCATCTCTACCCAAAAAGCAAGCACTCTCCATCCCACAACTTAGGCCTCCTCACCCAAAAACTAAGCCCTCTTCACCCACTCGAAACTAAGCCTTACCCATCAAAAAATCTAAGCCCTACATTCCAAAAAACTAATACATCTCCACCAAAAACTAAGCCCCCCCTATAAAAAATTTAAGCCCTTCCCACCCAGAAAAATTAAACCCATCTCACCAAAACTAAATCATGCCCTCCCCACCAAAAAATTTAAGCCTTCTTCACAAAAAAAAAACAATGAAGTGCTCAAGGCCAATATAAATAGGATACAGAAAAAGAGCAAACACTGACAAATATTATATTAACATGGAAACTAAGAAAAATTATCAACATTAGACTTAGACGACTGAATAATCTGCATCGCTAAATCACAAGCTTTCATTAGACTAAAAGACTAAAAAGAAAACTTCCCAACCAATCTGCCATGCACTCATGAACTCGAAATCGAACTAGGTAAAATAAATAAAATAATTCTAGAAAGAATTAACTGAGAACTAAGGACGAAATCAATGGCAAAATACAAAACAACCAAAGACTGGTTCCGAAACTTAAAAGACAAAGTTAAATGCGAATTAATAATTAGATATAAAAGATTTCTACCCTTCAATAACCCGTATTAAATAAGACCATCTCTTTAGTTCAGGAACAAATAAAGATAAGAAGAAACGAATTAAAAATCATCAAACTCTTCCGAGAATACTCAGTATTCGACGACGAAGGCGCGTGGCTAAAGAAAGAACGTATAATGTTACAATGGCTAATTTTGCTGGAGCAGAAACCAACAATCTTCCAAGCATCTATTTACTACATGGACGAAGAAAACTAATCGATAAAAATAATACAGACCTTTACAGGGATGATAATCTGGTAATTTTAAGAAACTACAACAGACAAAAAAAAAAAAAAAACAAATCAGAAAAATAATCATACAAAATTTTGAAAAATATAGGTTTTGACATTGGCATAAAAACTAAGCTGTAAGAAGTAAACATCCGAAATTTTACTTTCAACCTAAAAAAAATATAAACTATATAGAAAACCTAATTACAAACTACTGTATATACAGACATTTTTCAGCCACCCGCTACCTATAATCTAGCAGATCTCGCAATCAATTAACCGCTGGTTATCTGTCAATTTTTTCTAATAAAACTATCTTCAACAGAAACAATAAATTATGAAACATCCCTAAAAGATAGTGGATTTTCGGTAACACTCATATACACACCGCACAATACAAAAAACAATATATATATATATATATATATATATATATATATATATATGTGTGTGTGTGTGTGTGTGTGTGTGTGTGTGTAGATCAAATATGGATAAAGATAAAATAATAAACGTATATAAATCTAACATGTGTCACTTTTATTAACACATCGTCAGAGATTGAAAGAAAGCAGACTAAAAAGACAGAACATATTAAGTGTTGTTTTTTATATTAAAAAGAAAAAGAAAAAAAAACAACACTTAATAATATTAACTACGAACACGGCCACAATATGCTAACTGTGTTCGGGAAATAAAACATCTCTATAACATTAAAACATACACACAACGCACATACACACTTAAACTGAAAAAATAAAATCATCCTTGATAATGGCTAAAAGTATAGCCGAAAGGCCTCGGAATTATAGAACATTTGGACAATTTCTATACACTCTGTACCCCAAAAGAAATCACTTGTTCGAACACAAGAAAAAATAAATATAAAGCTTAATATATCATAAATTGTGTGGTGTTCTTAATAAGATAGTATTCGATGTAAACTAAAAGAGCTATAAATTATGTTAATAATAAATATATATTTATTTTTCAACACCAGTCTAACAACTATGAGTTTTTTCACAACCCAATCTTAACTCAGCACCTGAAGATTGCGTTGTGCAAGTGTCGTGCTACCACTGAGGGACAATATATATATATATATATATATATATATATATATATATATATATATATATATATATATGTAACTACACTGTCTCGGAAAAACCTTCGGTTTCTTGATTCGCTAATGGTCAAATCAATCTCAAAGGAAAAAAGGTTTTAAAAAAGAAAGAGCTAGGAACATGAACATCTGTCGGAAATAATCGTACAGCATACAGGTCTAAAGCCCAAAAAAAAAAAAAACGATAGGAGTATTGAACTAACTTAAAAGTGCTCAATACAAAAGTAGAGCAGACCTAGTCAAACCTAGCCAGCTTTCCCTGACGATTCGCTTAGGTGAAACCTTGGTGGGTTTGACTATATATATATATATATATATATATATATATATATATATATGCTTGTGCAACTGGTGAGCAACAAAATGTAAATTTATTATGAGTATAAATTTTAGCTCTGTTGTACATCAACCACTGTTTTATTACTACCATTTATGTAGATAGATAGATAGATAGATAAAAACATTACTGATATGTTTATAGTATCAATCCATGTAATTATAGATAGATGTAGAGAATATATGCCAAAAAAGTTTTACAGACAAAAATAAGGACAGACGCAAACGAAGAAGCAATTTTCAAATTGTGTTCCTTTTCCCACTTTCTCTGAATAATATGCCGAAAAGTCACTTCGAAAGTACTTGAGAAGACACTCTTAGGAAAGATCAAAACTTTTGCAAGTCTAATTACATGTCTAAAGGCAGAAACGACGCGACCCGAACACAACCCCCAACCTGACCTGACTGGCCTCAACTTTCCACAATCATTGTACATGATGTATGCTTCTTTCATATGGAGCTTTTCACCCCCGTCGGGCCTTTGCACAAAACCAGACGACTCTCTAGATCGATAAACGTACAAAACAAAGACGGCTGGTAAGATGGAAGTGATTCGTCTTGCCTGGGTTGAACTGTGTCCCACATTTATCAATCTAGCAATCCACACTAACATTTCAAAACCAAACTCCATCTTTTATTGTTATTATTTCCAGTGGTGAACTGGTTCTAAAAATATTGGTTGCCAGGAGACAAACAGGGACCACCTACAATTATAATGCTATCATTTCATTTCCATAAAGAATAATTTTCTTTTTCAATACATATGGAAACAGGAAACAGGAAAAATATTTTTTTAAGTGTACATATACTGAAACATATGACAGTAGATATGAAATGTGAATAAAGAATGTTATAATTTAATTTTTTTTTTAATTTTAAGTAATTAGTTTATATATTTAAATAATCTACTGCATAATTTAACATTAACAGTTCAAAGGCACAATAATGCGTTGCACGCAGAGCAATCGTTTGTGTTCTTCAGATGATTGTTTGACTCTGCCAATAATTGCTTCTGCATCCAATTCATCTAAGAATTCCTTTTCAATGGATAGCAACATGTATGATTCCAATTTCTCCTCAGAAAACAAATTACTTAACCTTGTATTTATGATCTCTACCTTTGAAAATGTCCTCTCATATTGGACTTGATTAACTGATAACATTGTTCTTATTCATTTTTATTACTAAAACAATTGTCTGAGTTTGTTTCATTATTGCATTTTTATTTAATATAGGGATCCCATTCGATCAGTTGTCATCGGGCAAGCTGACACCCTGGCCAGTTCGAAACAAATTATTTCTTCTCCCTCTCTTTCTCTTTATATATATATATATATATATATATACATACATATATATATATATATATATATATATATATATATATATATATATATATTTATATCTTCATATGTATCTATGTATCTATCTCAGTCTGTTTATTATGTATCTCATTCTTTTCATATCTATCTATCGTTTCTCTTCATATCTACCTCATATCTATCTACCTACCTATCTCTCTGTCTCTCTCTCTCTCTGTAAATATATATATATATATATATATATATATATATATATATATATATATATATATATATATATATATATATATATGTATTACACTGAAACATAAAATGGCTACACATTTGCAGCCGTGTTTCAATACGTATCAATGCATCTCATCAGGTGATTGTAAATTACTGGCAAGTGAACGATTTATTCAGATTTAAAAGCAAAATACAGTCTCTTTTTCTTTAAGTAACTAGTGAATAATTTAAATATGTAGAATTATGTGGGAAATTAATATGCAACTGTTGAATAATGATTTTTCATATAGGATGTTAAAAACACTAACCAATCAATGTACAGTGCGAAAAATAGGAATCGAATATCAATACATCTGTACAAGATGTTACCAATACTAGCAGGAAATTAATACAAAATTATATTAAATACAGATTAATCTTACAAATAAAAATATAAGCCATATATTGTGCAACACAGTACAACAAAATTATTACAAAAAGTATTATCACATATCAAAGTTTAACTGAATTGTAAGATAAACGGTCAACTATGCTTACAATTTACATTTAATTCACTTCTTTGATTTAACAATGTTTTTTGTGAAAAAATCTGATGATTTCATGTAAACACAGAAAACAGTGTTCATGTAAATTTCTACATGTCCTTTGCATTTTTTTAAAAATTCACCTTAGGGGTTTTATTATCATCCTTTAAACTTCAAAAATATTTAGAAAGTGATATATTATATCTATAAGCAGTATTGGTAAAGGACAAGATATGTTGATACCATCAAGTCTTAAAAGAATTCTTAATAGTACCAATACAGGATTTTTCAACCGTCGGATCCTCTATTATAGAGATAGTACTAAAATAAACTAGAGATGTAGTTAAACATTTGTTTAGCAATGGCCATTGTTCAGAATTCCTACAATTACATTGGCCAATATTATTAATATTTATCTTAGAACGTGCATCATGATTCAGATTATTAAATTAAATTAAATTTTTATGATTGTGTAACATAATAATCTTCACAATATTATTGGTGCAGCTGTGACTTAATTTCAATGTGTTTCTGTTAAATATTTTACTAAGAGCGTTACACTTAGCAAAGTATTTATCAGTCAAATGGAGGCCTGACTTAGTACTGACTAATTGATTAAAATGGGGGCAGGGCACGAAATGATCTTCCTAATTCTATTTCTTCTCTTTGGACCAGTATCATCATTTTCTAAACTTGATTTCAGCTTATTTATAAACCGTTTTCTATAAAACTTTATTATAAACACCGCTAAATTTATCAAACACATCTTTGACGAATGGTTGCTTATCCTACGTTCTACAGACGAAGGTATATGTTGGATTAAAGATGGAGGGTGGTTAGAATTGAGGTTAATATAAATTGGGTTGGTATTATTTTCATAGAAGGTTGAAATATATCATTAACGTGATCGAACGTAACATCAAAAAAATCTATTTGTTTAACATTAGCACTTAACTTAACCTTAAGATATAAACTTTTTAGGTTTCTGTAAATCATTTTTCTTAATGTATCGCTATTTTATCATATTTTCTTAATTTACATATTACTCGATTCTGTATTGAGCCACCTTTTAAATTAAATGTTACGAACATTGGAATTGTCCAAATGTACTCTTTTCGTTCTCATTGTACCTATCATATATATATATATATATATATATATATATATATATATATATATGAGTCTGCTAGTTTTTTATAAAATCTGTTCATACTCACGAATAACCTTACGTGTATTTATGTTAAAGGATGAGAGAAATGTGCTATAGCTATTTAAATTTATCCACTGGTAGGGGAGTTATACAAAACTATATGTTGTTCATTAATAGCACATTTTTCATCCTTTAACATCAATACACGTAAGGTTATTCGTGAGTATGAACGGATTTTCTTAAAAATTAGCAAACAATTGAGACATGCCTAAAAGAGTATTTGCTAAATACACAGATATACATACACACACACACACACACACACACACACACACATATATATATATATATATATATATATATATATTAGTCTCTTCATATCTATCTATCTATATATATATATATATATATATAGATGAATATAACGATGTGTATGTGTATGTACACGTATGTCTGGGTGTGTGTGTGAGTACATGCCTAAGTGTATGTACCTACTTGTATATGTTTTTGTGTGTATTAGTATGTGTTTTTGAACATAGAAATATTTGGTCCTTGCTAAATTAGACAATCGTTATATTCATCTTCATATATTTATATTTGATTTCTAACCTGTCGTCGATACTAATTTTCTCAATTACAAAGCCGCCCTTTAAGTAAACACAATTTTATTTTCCTTCGTCCCATCTCTCTCCCCCACCTCTTCTCTTCTTTTTTTTTTTTTTTTCCTCCTATCCTAATTGTCTATGGTGTGTATATGTCACCACGAAATGTATCTTTATGCATTAGACATCCGTCGACTTTTCTTTTCTCCTCTTTTAAATTCCCCCCCGCATCTCCTAAAATTCTCTCTGTTAAGGTTTCATCTCCCTCCTCCTCATACTTACACTTTCTCTAAATTCTGTTTAGATTTCGGAGTTGTTTTTTTTTTCTGTTTTCATTTTGAATTTGTAGGTCTGATGATTTGGATCGTTTTACGATTCCAATGGAATAAATTATGACCATGGAATATTAGTGTTTAACATTTTTATTATATCCTTACTCTGTCCTAGACATTGAGTTCTACCTGGATCCTTCCTCTTGGAAAAATTTTTTTTCTGAAAATATACATGTATTGGAATTTTTTATATATATTTTGCATATGTATGTATATTTTCCACTAATATTATCTATCTATCTATCTATCTATCTATCTATATATATATATATATATATATATATATATATATAGCTATCTATCTATTACGCTTGCATCGTGGCCAACATAGTTGCCTGATTGCTTCTGGCGCCTATAGTCATTGTTTAAGTATAAATATATGGCATGCTGTTAAATGGTGATTTTTAAGATAACTCAGGAAGAACTTGTTATTTGATTGGTAAGGGCAGCACATTCCAAAGAGTCAGCAATAATAATTTTAATATCTATCTACCTCAGTTCATATCTATCTATCTAGACTAGTGTCGAATTTTTATCATTGAAAATGTCTTCAATATTCAAAAATGAAATCTTCATGTCCCAACATTATCAATAAATCGCAGTAGAAAAAAAGTCCTGAAAATTCTTAGTATTATTAATTTTTGATGAGGTTCCCCCAACACCTTAACTTTTCTGCAAATATAATTTCCAATTGATCAGCATATATAAATAGCAGCACAATACACATGGCCTGAGCACAAAACATCTGTCATATTCAATTATATATATATATATATATATATATATATATATATATATGTATGTATGTATGTATGTATATATAAATAAAAAGAAAAAACAGTATGATATATAATCCGGTGTTCTTATAGATATTTTTATTTTCACAAAATAGTGCTCAATGTAAATTTACAGAGCATTAATATTATAAATTAATTGACTTAAAATATGATATTTCGCTACACAGTTCTAACCA